TTACAGTGCTCGATGCGTTACAGCGGAGCATAATTATATTGTTAAGAAGAAAATTCACAAAACTACAATTTCATCTCGACAAGCCTGTTTCGTGATTTCTCACTCTTCAGGGGATAATATTAAATGAATACAAATGCATGTGTCTAACTATATATAGGTAGAACTACATACAAGCTAGGTGTACGATTACAAATTACATTAAAGTGCCTTGAGTCTATGGCGACAAGAGGAGACAAGTTCGTTACGTTTGTTGAGAGATGATAGTTGTGGTTGGTAGGTGATGAAGAATTTTTCTTTCAGGCATAGGTTGCATCTTTTGTTGGCGCTGTTGTACAGTTTGCTGTGAGTAATGATGTTCCATGAGATATCGTGAGCGATGTGTTGTCTTTAAGTGTCCATATGTGTTTACTGAGTTTGGTTAAGTTTCTTAGTTTTTTGTGGCGGAAAGAGGCAGTTGGGCTCCTGTGTCGAGTTTTAAATTCCTTTTCTGTAAGTCCGATGTAGGTCTTAGTTGTGTTAGTGTCCAAACGTTTAACAGTTGCTTGGTAGATGACAGATGATTGTAGGCAGTTTTCGTTAAGTGGGCAGTTTTGTTTCTGTCGGCAGTTGCATGTTTTATTTTTGTCTTTTTGTCATTGATGGTGTCATTAGTACTGTCAGGTGCCCTCACCTGATAAGGGTAACTATGTATTTTGAAGGATAAAGGGCGGCTATGTATGTTCGTGCAATTAAGGGTAACTATGTATTTTAAAGGATAAAGGGCAGCTATGTATGTTCGTGCAATTAAGGGTAACTATGTATTTTAAAGGATAAAGGGCAGCTATGTATGTTCGTGCAAATAAGGGTAACTATGTATTTTAAAGGATAAAGGGCAGCTATGTATGTTCGTACAATTAAGGGTAACTGTGTGCGAAGAGATTAACAACTATATATGACTAGGATCAATTTTTAAAGAGAGGAAAAGTTTTTAAGGTAAAGGAACTCTGTGGGAGGTGACGCAGAAACAAGAGGTTATTGACGACAAATATTGTAGCTCTTCAAACTATAACTGCAACTATACAAAGTAACGTTCAGAAAATACACAAATATCTTCAATATGACAGAATATTTAAAATTTCAAAATGGGCAATTTCTTGAAACATCTCAACAAAAAATATTACCTGAAATTCCCGCAATAGCAACGTTATATTACTTTCCGAAGCGATGTTCGTCATTATTTCAAGCTAAAAAAATACAAAATACGGTTGAATCTTCAAGATAATTCTCATGTTAAACACCGATACACGTGTATATTACATGAATTTTTTATCGTCTACAACAACTGTCATGGACTCTCTTTTTAACATAAATGTTTGCATGCTTAGTTTTGGATTCATTGAACTTTTTGTGGTAGATAAATAAGGGAATGTACGTTCAATCGTTTCCTAATGAGCATAATTCGTAATTTCCATTTATTTTCACTAAAAATAAAAACTTCCTTTAAGGGGCTGTTTACATGAGCCCTACAGAGAAGGTTGGCCCTTCCAAGCGAGATCTCGCGTGCAGTTAAATTTCCACATAAAATCACTCTTCGTTAACATGACAGAAAGGCCAGCCTTACCAGCAGAGATCTTGCTATTGTTTACCCGAAATCTCGCCATGTAGGGCTGAGAATGTCCAATGTAAACGCATTCAGCAGGACTAGCCCTTCCTGTAGGGCTGAAAATTCAAAGGATTTTCATGCCTGCGATAAGGCATCGCTTTTCAGCAATGGCGACAACAAAAGACATCAACATGAGCAAACAAACTTAGACAGCGTAAAAAATCAAAAGGCGACCACTATATTGGTTTGTTTTCAGCTATTTTGTATTTTAGCGCCGAAATTCGCAGTTCAAACAGAGCTCTTGATGTATGGCTAGAATTTGCATGTAAAAGAAAGGTAGAGTACAACCCTAGAAAGAAGGCTAGGCCTTTCCGCAGGGCTCATGTAAACAGCCCCTAAGTAGGTGATCATTTTACTAAACAATACAATAGTTTTAACACAGTATAAGCAGGTTTGCGGTATAACAACGAAATAAACCAGGATTCAAAAAAAGTAAATCAGAAAACGGCCAAACATAAATTCTTCAATGTGTGTACATATCGCCAAAACTTTAATAACTCCACAAGTAAGCATGTTAAGATTAGCGTTAAAAACAAAGTCAAATGCGGAAGATTGGTTGTTCAAAGACAATAAAAATCGTGTCAAGGGCACTTAAGCAGATCAAGTTAATGTACATCAGAGATCAGAAGTAAAATACATAAAGTCTGATATAGACATATAGTCAATCGTCACCTGCTTACCTTAAATGTTTTGATATATTTTGAGTCGTTGGAATGAACGAAGAAACTTTTCAGATGCGCTTCAAACATTCCCTAGAAGATTTACAAATAAGGAAATTGCTTTAAACGACAGAAATCAAAACAATTTAGGCACATGCAACCAATACAACGAAAGACACGGAAATCAAACGAAAATCACCTTCCTTGTCGATGATAATGTTGCTATATTGCTAAGAAGGACATATTGAACTTCTCTAAAGAAAAAAAACCATCCAGCATCATCAAAGAGGTCAGTGCCAAGTATTATTGATGACCAACGGAAATCTGAGAGAACTGTTTTTGTTCACTTATTGTGTAACTACATATTTTAATTATAACAGATCAGTGCAAATCCGAGATCGAAAGTCGAGAGTTTTCTCCAGCTCGAGAGTTCTCCCTACTCCTCAAAGGTTTGCGTAAGCCAGTGCAAACACGTAAAACATGGTATATTTTTTTTATAAAATAACAATAATGCGAAAAAGACAAATTTGAAACAAACGCTTTGACCTTTCCTCTAACACGTATCATGATTGATTTGTAAATTTTCTTTGATGCATTTAGTTTATTTAGCTCAGTCCAGTTTGCATAGGCAAATGGAAGTTCACTTCTACACCAATCAGCGTACGCGTTTTATTGTATTTATTCTATAATGATTAATATGAGAGCTACGTGATTGTGAAAGTTTGAGAATGTTTGAATTTAAATGTAGAATATCACTGGTCGACAAAGATGCGTGGCAAGATCAACAAAAACGATGCGCATTGCATATTTGGTCAGGATACTTAGATCGGCGAAAAATAATAATCAGCTCGAGCATTGCAAAAGAAATAAACTTGAGTTTGTTAAAATAAGTCATTGATTTGAGGAGTAACTTACGAAGACTGGAAACTAGTTAGCTATCTCTACGGACTTACGTAATAGAATGCATGTCAACATATTGTGCGTCAATCAAAGTCTGGCAGCCATTTTTCGGGTCAAGAAAATGGAGGATTTTGTTGTTGTACAAATGCAACTTAGAACAAACGATAATACGTAATTACTGTAAACTAGAGTTTTTAAGTAAATTTGAAAACTTGTGATATGAAATGGCATCTTTGCCTACGCGTGGACGCCCAAAATATGATGTTCAATAACATCGGATTCGTTTACGGATGGACGTATGTATACAAAGAGTGGTAAAACAAAAAAAAACTTTGCTGGATGGGCAGAACAGACGCACAGTGAATTTGCTTCTCCTTTACATGAAATCTTGGATGAAAAGAAACGTGTAGTTTGTCCTACACCAATAATATCAGTGGCGGATAACTAATTACAAGGCCTGTAGGCTACGACAAAGCTGTGGGTCTTTAAGTAATATTTGTTCCTCCAAATAAGTTCAGTGTTTTGATGACGTTTGCGTTTTTTGCGTTCCATTGCTTTTGCATTTCCTGTCTTCTTTTTGTAACTCATATAGTGTAAACATTAAGGAACAAATTTAAAATTCAAACTGAGTAAGTCCCTTGCACTTTATGAGTTTTGTGCGTTAAGCATTAAAACAGTAGATCGTAAAGTTTCCAGCAGCATATATGGTCGAACTTTAGAACAAAAAGGCGAAAGGTAAATACAACGAGCGTCTTGAAAAGGCGGGCCTGCAGGCTTTAGCCTACTTAGCCTACTGCATTTGTAAAACGTCACTACGTGTATGCAGTCAAAATTCTTTTATCTCATTTTAGTATTTATTTGTTCAGTATAAAGCAAAATATGCGATGTTTACAAAGACGCTGAATTGTTTTGTAAAATGCTGTTGTAGATTGAATAAATGTATTTATCTACCACAAATTTGACAGGAAACTGATAACTTTTAAATATTTTGTTCACAGAAAGAACTCTGCAAAATTAATTTTGAGATCATCATGTCGAACACATTCATTTATTTTATTAGTAAAGTAAATAAAGAGATGGAAAACATGCCGACCTGATTTACAATACTATTATGAAATTATGTATTGTTGGAAATCAACAAAAATGCATGTCTCAGAATCATATAAACGCTCACAAAGCAATTCAGAACTTAATTATAATCTAGCTACTTTATAATATTCGAAATACATAAAGGAGCCCCTATATTAAAAATCTCTACTTTTTGATACTGAAAACAACTTAGATTGGTCTTATTTTGGGGCAGCATTTCCACAAAAACAACATTTTTCCATCCAATATTCCATAGATCAGAGGATTTAACGCGTGTGAGCCAAAAAGACGGAGAACATAAACAACGTAAAGATTAGTGGGTGAATTTGATAAAACAGTGTTGTTTATATAGAGCACGTCTACAACCAAAAAACAAGCGTGACCCACTGTGAAGCAGAGAACTGTGCTGACACAAACAATAAATGTCTTACTATGCCGAGTATATCTTTGAAGACTTGAGCTGGTGGAGGATTGTAGATGAGAATGTGTCGGATTGGAGAGTGTTCGTAGTGCTTTTCTTTGTTTAATCAATGCTTGAGCGACTATGGAGTAAGTCACAGTCATGAAGATTTTTCGGAAAATGTAGAAACATGAATAAAACGTAAACAATTCGTAAATAAAATAACGAGCTTGAGGATCCACAATGCACTCTTGAAATGTCATTCCAACTGTCGTATCTAAACCAATGATGTACGCTAAACCACAAACGATTTTTATCTTTTGTCGAGTGAAGGAAGGTTTCAATGGATGAACTATCGCACGATAACGTAGAACTGAAATGATCAACATCATAGAAACTCCACTTATTTGAAAAAAAGTATCTATGCCACTTATATATGAGCAGTTTAACATAATTGGATTGCTTTTCAAATGGTGTTCAAAGATTTCAAAGAGAAATATACTCAATAGTACAAATGAGTCACATATTGCAAGATGCAAGACAAGAAAGTAGTAGTTCTTCTTTAACAGAATCTTTTGTTTTAAAATTGAAGCGATCACGAGAGTATTTCCAGCAATGCCAAGAACACATATTGCCACAACGAACACCACAATATCTTTCATTATTAATGATTTGTCTGGCCAACTTTGGAGTGCCCCACTTTCTTCTATTTCCCTGTTCAAATGTGATGATAAAATGTGTTTTCCGTAAATATTGAATGCTGCACCTCATCATTCACAGCTGTGTTTAATGAGGGCGTTCTTAAAACGAAACGTGTAAAAAACTAATCAAGTTTGCGTTGTTTTATTGGATGTGTAATATGATCTCTTAGACAAACTTTATTGGACTAAATTGGTTGACCATGTGAAGATATAATGAATTGCCGATAACATATTGATCTCATTTTTTGCGAAGTCAAACGATTGTTGAAGTCATCATGACATCTGCTGCCAAATTGAGATATAACTTTTTGCAGGAATTTAAGTTCAAATATTTTAGAATAATAAAATCTATTTGGAGTCCGTTGTACGACATGCATACATGGACACTATTGAGATATTTATGCATGTACAACTTAGAAAATGGTTATTAAACAAAAATTTTAATAAATCAAATGACAAATGCAATTGAACACAGTAGTGTTAATAATAATTTCAAACGTTTGTGGAGAACGATATTATCGAACTTGAAAGTATTTTTAAATGACATTGTAACGATATGATCTTATAGAAATTTAATCAGTTATATGGCCAGTTATCTACTAAATGAACATGTTTTTAATTTGAATTTGTTCATATTTCTGCCTCATTTGAATCTCCAAAAGAAAATCAGTTGTTTGCTGGGTATCACACGACAATATTTGACACATGATTAAAAATTAAAACATCTTACATTAGATGCCTGTAACAATGACTACCATCACAAAGTTTTTTTTATATAAAAATATTTACACAGATCTCGGTTTGCATGTGTTTATCTCTGAGTGTTAATGGTTTTCAACCTGTTCCTGTTTAACTTTGTTCGACAATTGTAATACTGTTTTAGCTACTTAAATGCATAAAAATTTCGGGCAAAAAATTCGAAAACAAAGTGGAGTGATAATTACTTGAATTTTATCAATTTTTTGAGCAGCTATTTCAGTAGTAATACAGTGCAGTATTTTTCTATCCAGCATTTTATAGATCAGAGGATTCAACAAATGTGACCTAAAAACACGGACAGCAAATGCAGTGTACATATTGGTAGAGGCATTCAATAAACGAAGAATATATGAGTAAATCATTAGAGAAAGAGCATTATCTCAATTTTTAGCGCATCTTTACAGCAAAATAATAAATATGACCCGTTTTTAAGTAGAGAACTGTGTTTACGCAGATGAAAAATGTATTACTATTTTGAGTATGTGTGATGGACTTAAGATGACGTTACGTTGGAATCCAGAATGTTCTCAGTGCTTTTCTTTGTTTGATCAATGCTCGGGAGATTATGGAGTAAGTCTCAATCTTGAATATTATTGAGAATATGTAAGAGCAGGTATGAAAAATGATCTACAAAGTAACTACTCTTTAACTGTCATTCCAACTGTCATTACCAACCAGTGAAGTACATAATCCAATAGTATTCCCTTTGAATCAACGCCGTTAATGTAGATAATTCAAAGAAGTCTCACAAATCGTGTTCTTAAGCCAACTCTACTTTTAGCATAATGCAAATAACAATTTATATCGAGGTTAGTCGCCCGTTTTTGCCAGCAATGCGTATTGCGTAGCTACTGAAGTCACAGAAGTGTCATTTCAATAAATTGGAATCAATTTGTTTCTGTTCTGGAAATAACATGCTTTAATTGCTAAAGTCATATTATAAAGAATAAGAGCAACTAATTGAAATTTTCATTCTAAATGGCGTTTAAATGATCCTGTGGCATTCAACTTGATTTCTTTTATATTTTTTTATTTATTTATTTATTATTATCTATTTTGATTATTTCTTTTGATAGTATGTCACGTGGTCAAAACTATAACAAGCCTACTAAAAAACAAATATAAACAAATAAAGAAAGGTGACCTATTGTTTATTGCTCACTAAAATCTTATTTAGTCATTACTAATTGACCAATTTTCAACACGATGGTTATGACGAAATTGCATATTGGTTACAACCGTTAAAAATGTTTGTTTGAACCATCTTTATTTGTCATTTCTAAGTGACCAGTTTTGCATATGGTTGTATTGACCATCGTAATTGGCAATTTCTAAATGACCAATTTTCCATATGATTGTTGACCAAATTGCAATAAATGCAAACATTAAAAAGAGTCGTTCAACTAATGAGTTCTCGATGTGTGGTCACCAAACCGTATCTCAACACTGTTTAGAGCGTTTGAACAGAACACTCAACAATGTCGAGATAAAGTATTCGCTCTTTACAGCGTATATTGTAGTAATTTACCTGGTCACTGAACCGTATATGTAGGTGTATATATATATACATGCAGTTGCTAGGCTTCAACATTGTATCCCATGATCCTACGTGTTATCATTTAAGGATGAGCATGCTTTCAGCGATTGCGCGCATCGTTTAAACATCATTCAACAAACGCAAAACAATGTTGAGCGCATTTTGTACGTACGTGTTGGGAGCGTTTGTATGTAGCGTAAAGACATATTCTAAACTACATGCAACAGACATTATCTTCAACCGAAAGAAGATTTGAAGCCAATCACACGATATAAACGATCACTGTTTTAAAATATGAATTATTATTTGACTTACCATCACGAGCCTTAGAATCATACGTCTACATCGCCAAAAATTCTTAGCGGTTGAAGTTAACAATTTGGCCAACAGTTCTTCTTTATAACATTTCCTTTTCTTTGAGATCAACTTTGTGGTGACGAAATAGTAATAAGTTCGAAATACAACGGTTGTCTCCTCTCATATAACGAATTAAAATGGTACTGTCTTCTTAGTTTGTTTTATTTTTCATAGTGTTTCAGCATCCACTATAACTCGCTCAATAATCTTGTATCTGGTTTGGCAACCATTCTGCAAGCAAAGAAGTCAATCATAAGTTATAGCCACACCTTAGAATAGTTGGTTTGTACGTAGAGGCTGTCGCAAAAAACTGCTTGTATTTGAAATTATTCGACAATTAGAATTTGCTCGATTCAGGAATAGTTAATCCCCAAAGATCAACAACATTGAAAGAAAAACATGTTTTGCATTTAACATGAGGGGAGGCAGTCGACGTATTTTAGCAAAAAGAAAAGATAAAAAAAGTTTGCAAACGTTGATTTATACTTCGTCGTCTACAACAAAATTTTAACAAAATTGATCAACTATTGCTTGTTTATTCTGATAGCCAATCACATTTTGCACTTGACTAAAGCTAGCCAATAGCATTTCTTTAGTCATATAGATCATGTACGCGTGATATTTGCAAACCTTGACTTCATCAATTTTGATAACTGTGCTGGAAAAGAAAAGCAACTTGTTTGCCAGTCCAATTTGGGGAATTGCTTCAGTGTCAAATATGATGTGTTTACAAAAAAAGCTCAATTGCTTTACAAACTGCTGTTGTATATTGAAAAAATATTTTTATTTAGGCAATTAGCTACTTGATGCTGTTGAAAATGATGATCTATGAGTGACAATGCTACAAAACCTTTCAAAGCTACAATATATTCTAGCGAGCCTGTTTTGCAACAGTAAAACAAGCTTGAATCATGAATGTTTGTTTTGTTTTTGTTCTTGAGGTTTACAAAGACTATTAGACAAAGAAATGGGATTTTTCTATTCAACATTCTTTTCTTCGTTTTTTTCTTCATAAAACGGAAAGTTTTATGTTGGGCAATAACATTTACATTAAAACTTCGTTCTCCCTCTGGCAAATCTATAGTTTAATTATTTCCCAACAATTGTCTAATACGCAGAATATTTCTCACGTTTGTTTATTAAAATCTCATTGGCTTGGCCATGCATTATTAACATAGTATGCGCATGCATGGCGATGATCAAACGGTAAAACAATTTAATGAAACATCCTTCATACCGATGGGTTGAATTCGTGTTTTAGAATGTGTATTTTACAAACTTGACTTTCAATCTCCACCTTCTATCTGGTTTACTTTATATTTGAGAAGTCGAGGGCATGCCAGATATATTAGCCAGTTCTCTAGCGGTGTCTTTTGAAAGCTGTTTCTGTAAAAACAACAATAAAATTGTTCTAAGATAAAACTGAAATTACTATCTCGCTCAATTTGAATTAACATAATGCACTTTTTAAGGATTTTGTTCTATTCTATCCCAGTTTATAAAAGATGCTTGATGAATCTACACCCCAAGGCCAAGTATGAAGGATTAGTGAAAGTTTTGCAAAACAAGTGAAGTTTATGAGACTAAAATAACTTGATTGATGGTCAGCCAAGTTTGCATATAGTATTGCATGGCATCTTTAAAATCAGCACAAGGTAAATTCAACAATAAATTCTCATGTTACAACTAGCTGATTTACCAAGTAATTGCCTCAGAAGCAAAATAACCATTTGGGGCAACGCACCCAAATCACCAATAAAATTTATTTCTAAATACAGCACACCCCTTCCCAAAAAGTCATTCTACATAATCATCATACATGCATTGCTGTTTTAGTGCATACTTCTTCATGCATTATAGAAATACAACCTTACCTAAAAATCATGTTGGTCTATGGCCAAACAATGCTTTCCATTTATGATAAATATTTTTTAAGTTCTTGAAAACTACAAATTACACAAAACGAAAAATGATTCAATTGAGGTTTTTTGAGAGTAATCATGAATATAAACAATTTGGGAGGAGGGATCAATATTGACATATACGTAATTATTTTATGCTTTATCCCTTGTCGACTGTATTCATAGGTATTACATGAATACATTAGCAGTTATACAAAAGCAATGAAAATTAAATTTGTCACAAACCTGTAAGATAAGATGAAGCTTAGTTGTCCTTCTTTAAGCAATTTTGTCATGCTAGCCATTCATGTCCATTGCAGGCAATACTTGTTCTACATGAGTCAAAAATTATCAAAAACACATATACATAAATTTTCTTTAAGTGAGCACACAAGCATGAAATAAATATTGCATAGACTTAAAAAAATTACTTATTTGAACTAACATCTTGTGGTGAGATTTAAAGCAGTGGTTTAAAGGAGTGTGCATTTCGCCTGGTTTTATTGGGTGAAGGAGAGGAACCAAGTAGTTGCACTGCATAATATTTATACGTTACCTATGACAAACAATGTTCAAAGCAAAAGCAAGTGATTTTTCATATTCAGTAGATTTCCAAATGCATCAGTCAATCATGGAATATAAGTAAAAGAATTTATTAAAACAAGGTGCAACAACACTGCAAAAATCACCATCAAAATTTACTTTAAAGAACAGAGCACACCTCTGTCGACATAGCCCCTCTACACGCACTACCTTAAATTCATTGGTGTTTTAACACATACTATTTCTTGCATCAAAAGGAAGACAACCTTACCCACATATCATGGAAGTTATTCCATATCATGGAATTTAATCCATATATATATTTCCGCAATTCGTGACTATTCTTGGAGTTGGAGGTATAAAGGTATTGACAGACACTGGAAAGAAAACAAATTAATTTTCTTTATATTATTTGGCTGCTTTGAATAAGCTATTTCAAGATTTTAAAAGTGAACCTTTTAGCCTTGATAATTGAACTATAAGAGGCACTAGTGAATGTCAGTGATACTGTATTACTTTCATACTCAAACAATATAATAAAACAGAAGTCTGCGTTAAAGTATAATGTTTTATCAGCACATATATATGTGAGTAAACTCTTAAATAGCCTATAAATTAATTAAATATAACGGTGATAACGTGAATATGTTAGAAAAACACTTAACCATCATAATGTCGATGTTGAGTTGTTGACTCAAATTAATAGGTATCACTAATCACACTAACAATTTATGCTCTACGTAATTAAAACAAAGATGCCATAGTCTTTACAAACCTTTTTGAGAATCCGCAGTAAATCCAAAAGATCAGGAGATTGAAAACATCAACAAACATCAGGGTTGGCCATTCTTCTTTAATTAAATCTTCTTTAATCTTCTTTAAATAATTAAAGAAGATTTCAAATTTGTCTCAAAATCTTTATTGTTCATTAATGAATATATCAACCTTGTTGATAACACAAGGTTGATATATTCATTCATTAATTAATTGCACTTCATGTTGTGCGACCATTGTGGCTTGAGTAATCATTCAAGTGGTCAAGTTTATATGTAAAGGTAATTTTACTTAATTATGCTGTTTTATTTATACCTTTAAAAAGAAAATATAGATGAAATGTGAAAAAATCAAAAAAGGTTATGGAAAGTTTGGAATGTAGTTCACTGTCATTGGATTCACTAGACTATTGTCAGCTACACGCGCATATATCATAATCTATTGCTAGATCAACGATTCGTACTAAATGTTCGTCGAATAAATGAAGAAATATAGAAAGCTTGTGGCTACATCATCAGTCATAGTTCATCTGAGAGAACATCTATGTCTTCCATGATTGAGTTGCTGAACACCAATTGATTATAAAGCTTTATTATATGAAACCAAAGGTGAAGTTATTTGTAATACTTTTATATTCTCTTTTATTCCACTTGAAATCGTGACTGAGATATTTAGTCATGCTATTTTGAAAAAGATATAGGACTTGCGTATGGAAGGAATGCATGGTCTTACGCGTGTTGTGAAGAATAGAACTAGTTCTTTAGTGTTAAAATTCACTTTCGGTTTGCGCAGAGAAATTAAGCAGGCTTCTGCGTCTACGATATAAATTGACCAATGTGATTATTCCCTTTCAAGTTGCTTGAATCACTTAGATTTGGTCAGGGATTTTAGCAACCTTGACCAATTCAAAGTTTTCTTAATTTGAAATAAAAATATTTCAATTACATGAAGTTAAAGCTGATCTGTATGAAAGATCAATGATCAAAGGTCTGATGGTTTCCGTTTCGACTTTTGGTTGCTTGTTCAGACGATCCGATAATTTTTTTGATATTTATATTCGTTTAAATATTTAAAGTCGTGTGAGCAGGCATTTTCGCCGTCCAGTACATTTATCGATATATTTTTCGTATTTTTGTTCTTGTTTCCAAGTCTTTTTCAAATTTATGTAATTTTACTAGTCGGCCTCCTTTGATCATGTCGCACAAAAATTGAGCAAGTTCTATTTCCATCCGATTATTTAGTTTGACGGATTAATTTCTCTCAGTACATTTTACGAATGCCTGTCCGACAAACATATCGGTTGTGTATTAAATATGCATGATTATGGTTGAGGTAATTCAATCGCTCTTCTCCCAAAGGTTTGCTTTTTGTCACAGCGCAAAATATATGTTGTCAACGTCGGTGCCAAAGACCTTTCCTTTTTTGGATATAGAAGCAACTGGGAATTAAACAGAGTGGAATAGCATAAGGCGCAGTCACCATGGAAAATTTTTGTTATTTTTTACCAACACAATATTGAACAACAAACATGGCATTAGAATATCGTTTTCCGTTGCACATTCTAATGTACTGTAAATGAGCCGTCTTTCACAACAAAAATTGCTTGCTCAGCGTTTTTATCTTTCCCCTACGTTGGCATATCAAAATAACAATTAATTAAAAAAAAATTTTAGCAAAAACGTTGGTATTAGGGAGGAGCAATAGTAGTGCTGGCAATCTTATCTAGAGTTTGATTTTTTTCTTCCTCATTTTTTAACTAGTTCAAAACAGTATCAAGTGGCTACCCGACCTATAACACGAGGCAATTTCCAGCAGGATATTACACCACGTGACCAAGAGCGTGATCAATAGTAGTGTATAGAAAGGTGAAAGTAAGGATAAGTTCTGACTCTTATGATTTTTTGGTTTTTGGCGGTGAAAAATTTCTATACCTTAGAAACAGCGTTATCTGAACGGCAAACCCATAAAGATTTCTCTCGGTAACAAAATCCTTATGTTGTGCAGCCGAAAGGATTAAAGTAATCCCCTCCTCCGTGAAAAGAAACATTGACAGTGCCATAAAGTGCGACAGACCCTGTTTTCCTTTCAGTGCAATACAGTGCGAGAAATCCTCCACCTTGAAAAAATATTGAGAAGAGCGATAAAGATGGAGGACTCTCTCTCCCTACCCCCCACATTATCATTGATATATCCAATCTATATGAAAAGATTGCCTGACAAGTTTGATGCTATTGACCTAGCTTATGCAATTCGTATTCATAAATCATATACAGTACTGGTTTTTAATGGATTTAATCACACTTGGAATATCTATATATTGTTTTGTGTGGCTCATAATTGCACATGAACAGCGAAACTGCAAATGCTTTAGCATGTTCACCTAATATACGAAATTTAACAATATCCTCGAGCACTTAAACCCCCGCTGACTCAGCAATCTTTTGTTGCCCTTGAGAGTTAACGAGGTTCTATAAAATTAATGTTAAGTTCATGAGCTTTATAATTGCACATACATTTCCTATGATCTAAGTAGATGCTTTTGTACTGCCTTATGCACCCATATATTGTACGTCCTAACAACGTAACCAAACATCAACAAAACTTATTCTATTTCCATAAGTTTAATCACAAAGTAAATTTTACAACGAATAAAAGTTAATGCTGGCTTATAGCTTCGGCCAGTGAACAGAATATTTAGAATATAGCTGGCTGGAACGAAAACTGAAGACAATTACACGGTCATTGGGGCCGACGAACGATGAAATGAAGTTGATTAAGTGTAGTTTTAGTACAAATAGGCGGGCCATAGATGTACTTACCTACAAATGCTTCAATTTAAACAAGTGCAAACTGTTTTCGCCTATATTGGTTTTCGTCAAAACCGCTTAAAGCGTCCAGGAGACACTTTGGAAGTAAATTTTTTTATTATTCTAAAAGAACTCAAATGTACATGAAAGTCAATTTGAAAAAATTAATCTTGAAAATATGTGTTATTGTCAAGCCATACGAACGAGCAGTTTACACACATTGTCGGGCTTGATTTTGAAATTTGACAGGCAAGCAGTCACAAGGGTCCAATGCAGGGGGGTCGTTTCCCATGGCTCAACTGCTGCTATCTTTGCAACCACTAGAACCTACTACATATGTTGCTACGCGACTTCCATGAGTCAAAAATCAAGCCGGAAAACTATTGTCGTCGTCAATCAAACGTAATCTCACGTCATGGCTTACGCCCGTCAGGCTCACACTCAAAGAGTGGGGCTTCAAAATCTCTTTATAAATATTAAAAGACAGATTTTCATTGCTTTGATTGCCTGATTTAAAATATTTTTGGCTCGGCCAACCATTGCCCAGATAGTTCTTGGTACAAGCTTTCCCATCCAGTAATTAGAAATGTCATGTCCCACTGACTGCAAAGCAAAAAACATTTTTCACACCGCAGATGAAAAAATGTTTTACTAATTTGGGTTTATGTTTGAGGACTTTCACTTGTGGAGGATTATAGATATGCATAATTTGACAGTTCGCTTAGCGCTTTTCCTCGTTTGACCAATGTTCGAAAGATTACGAAGTCGGTGACAGTCATGATTATTATAAGAAAAATGTAAACGCAGACATAAAAGGCAAACAATTCGTATAAGACATAACGACGTTGAGGATCTACAATTCACTCTTGAATAGTCATTCCAACTGTCGTAACCAAACCAATTATGTACGCTGAACCACAAATGATTTTTATCTTTCGTTGACTGAAGGAAAGTTTCAACGGATGAACTATCGCACGATAACGTAGGACTGAAATGAATAGCATCAAAGAAACTCCACTTACTTTAAATACAGTATGTATGCCAGCTATATATGAGCAGGTTAAATAAATTGGGTTGCTTTTCATTTGAATGAAAAATATACTTAGCAGTGCCAGTGCGTCACATATTGTGAGATGCAAGACAAGAATGTAGTAGTTCTTCTTTATAAACAGAATCTTTCGTTTTAATATCAAAGCGATCACAAGAGTATTTCCAACAATGCCAAATACACATATAAAAATACGCAAAAATACAAAAGCAGGCATAACGATTAAATTGATGTATTCTTATCAGTCTATGTTTCAATTGAAAAACTGTTTTTTCAGTTAATAGGTCAAGTTGCAATGTTTGACTAAAGTACGGTCTCGTTGTTGTTTTTGTCGCTATGAGCTATGCTTGTATGCTGTATATATACTTGTATTGTCTTTCTGCGGGTAATGTGCATTTAAATGTACCAATCAGCAACCACGAAAACTGATATTTCATAATAATACCCATTAAAGTGCTAATATTACGAATTTTAGCCCCCCTTTTTTATGATTTTAATTGAAAGATCTTGTTTCAGTGATTTTAAATCTGCAATTATAGTTGAAATTGGATTGGTGAAAGTGATTTTACGGACGTTCAAAGTCATGATTTTCAGCATTTTTTTTGCGAACTTTTTGATCGGTATGCTAATGACTTGTGACGTAGAAAGTTGAACACAAATATCAACATGGCGTATTCTACTAGTAATCTTAATAATAAACGCGGAGGAAAACGCTGTGCTGCTGGCGGACCTAATCAAATTAGTTGCGCCAATGATTCAAAAACCGAAGGAATGTCGATGCACCTGTTTCCTTAAAAAAAGAAACAGAGCCGCAAAGACATAGCAAATGGGTAAATTTTGTGCGTAAACATAGTCCGGGTTTGGGGGGTTCCTCTACCTCGTGTCTGTGTTCTGCGCATTTTGAAGATTCATGTTTTGACCTTAATTTGAGCGTGCAAGTCAAGCTCAAAAAGAAGGTTGAAGAAAGATGCTATCCCAACCATTGACGTGGCTGGGATTCCTGAACCATTACAGGACGAAATAACTGATCGAAAGCGAAGACAAGTAAGTTTACGCTTGTTTATGTTAATTTTTCATTGTCATATGTAAATTCGATATAAGTTTTGTAGATTATTCGACATACTCTCCATAAGCCATCGCTGAAGGAAACATGTTCTATCGATGAGGAAGTCTCATCTACTAGTGATGGAGCTGAGCATGTTGAAGTATGCACTGAGGAAGCAAACAATTCGCCATTTGAAAAAAACTACATGCATTTGGTGAAGATATTTGTGAA